AAAGGGAAATTGTGTTTGTTATCAAAATGGAACAATTCAACTTTTAACTCTTTTTCAAGTTTTCAAACAGTGATTCTCAAAGCGCAAATATTTGTGATATGAGGAAATACTAAGACCGCCTTGAGAGACCGTCATGAGAAGGAAGTGGTTGGAACTGTCAACTGGAAAAGACGTATTGTAAATGAAAATCAGTTAATCTACTGTATGTGGCTGTAATTCATATTATTTGGTTGACTAGACATTTCTCAGATAGTATACACATAGTCAGTCTTAAATTTGACCTGTTGTAATGTTTTAAATTTGTAATAAACATTGCACTGATGAAGAAAGAGACCACACAGGAATACACACCAACCACACACTTTTAACTACTTAATTATAGTGATTGCAATGTTCTCATCTAGTGAAGGACCACAGACTGATAACTTGACTGTTAGTTGTTCTGATAAAACTAAACTAAAAATATACCTAAAGCATGACAAGAATCATATCAGAAGAATTATGAGACCTGCTAAACTTGAAAATCTGCAAAAGAACTAGTTATGTAATCATGTATTTAAAGAAAGAGCAAGCTCTGTATTAATGACTAATGAAGTTGCAATCAATACTCAATTGCTTTTCTGCAAATGCATTTTCAAATCAATATCTAAAAATACTTCAAAGTTTCACTTTAAAAACGTGGACAATGTTTTATAGTGCATGAAGAATTTCTTGCTTCTCCATAGATTTTCATTTTGACCCATTCAACTACACATTCCACACGTTTCCAATGCATTAAATAAATAAGATAAAAAAAGTACCATTTTATTATGCTATTTAGAATTTAGCATCCATACAACAAGACAAGAATATTAATCAAATGTTTGCTAACTGAAAATAAGTAATAAAAGTGCAAATACTAAATTATAAAGGTATTTTAATTCAGAATTTTGGATTTGCAAACTTGCCCTCAAAACTCAATGTATGTGTAGAAAATAATGTGTCTTACTTTGCAGGAGAGGAGCAGCCAGTCGAGAGGAGAAGAGCTGAGTGCTGTGTGTTTCTGCTGCTGCTCTTGTGTGGGTCCCTCTGCACTGGCCCCGCCCCTCGATGATATCACAGTGACATCACAGGTCCACCAGGAACAAAACAGACTGGGACAGTATCTCACAACACTTTGCACAATGGGGTTAGTAATGAAATTAGAAGCAAATAAACTCAAATATTTAAACAGATTTTCTAAACGTAGACTGTATATTGTGGTATTGTTATCACGATACTAAAACTTCAAACTCTATTATTGATACTAAGGAATGGGCATAGTCAATACTGATTCCGATACCAATGATAATAAAAAACACTCTTTTTTTTAGACAATAGGACATATTTTTCAACATTAAATCTTAGTACTTTTGTATAACTAGGCCTTATATGTGTGTAGTCCCTCAATGGTCCAGGTAGGTGCCATAGTGGTCCTTGGGTGGATACTCGTCTATGCGCTCTTATACTTGTTCTGATACAGTTCAAGATCATTCTAAAGCTATTCAGGAAAGGTCCATTTCTGTCCTGTGAATATATAATAAATGGATATCCAGTTTTGATACTAATTTTAGCATGGATTAGTATCTGATTTTCAATGCTTTTGACAACCCTATATTCTGGATGCAAAACTATGCCAATAATTATTACACTTTATGCTAGTTAGCTTTGTTAATGTATATTTAATTGAGACCTCTGCATTCAATCGACACTTTTCAATGTCTTTGGGATAACTTGGGTAACTTATCGGGATCATTGCAAGTACCTAGTTGGAGGATGAGACATTTTATACATTTTAGGTTGACGGGGAATGACAGGGCAGAAGAATCATACCTTGTACCTCCTTTTGGTGAGGAATATGTACAGCCACTCAGGCACCATGCTGATATCACTTAAATTGATAGTTGTGTACCAGTACTACTAATTACTCGTAGTGCAACCTCATCCTCTCTTGACCTGAGAGAAATTATATGTATTTATTTATTTTTAGCACAACATCAAGGACTTGTATAAATGCTGCAGATCTAACCACTAAGCCACACGGCAGTGCAAGTAAATGATAGCTTTTGTTCAAAGGCGGTTACATTTACTCAGTTGCCTTTACTTGTGTAACTTGAGTAAACTGTACTTTTCAGAGTACTTTTATGGGAACATAATTTTACCCCTACTTGAGTAATATTTTTTATTGATGTTTTGGTTACTCTTCTCTGTGAGTAAATCTATGAGTGATAAAAAATGAAATTTTTGTTGTTGGCAAATGCACAAGTTACTCATAACAATTTATAATAGTTTAGTCACAAGCACTCAGACATCTGGCAGACATTTTGGTGGTGGTTCAAACTTGGTTGTCTGAGTTGGTCACCTGCTGTCTCTTTTATTGGCTCATGCTCGGTCTTGTCAGTTTCGAGTCTCATTTACGGTTGCTCAGGCGCCTGACGGTAACTGCTTATAAAGGTGTTCAGACGTCATAAAGCTGCTGTTTGCTCAGGGCTGCCCTATCTTTCACTGGGTAGAGGTCAAATTGTGAGTCATGTGATGTTAGAAGGACACGCCTGCTCTACCTGTAAAACTTAAATACATGTCAGAAGGGAAAAAAAGATCTGCGGTAGGGAAAAAATAGTTTCATATGATGTGGATTTTATTGAATCTTATACAGTCTGTCACTGTTAAAGCTTTAGTACTGGTTGATATTCTTTACTGGAGTCTGATTTGTACAGTCTGTAAACTGCTAAGGCCAAAATGCTCCCTTGTCACAACATTCCCCTAAATGTGCAATGTGTAACTTTTCTGTCCGCATGCTCATTGTGTTTCATGTTTATTACATTCAAGGCATTACTTTACCTTGAATGTCCCACAGTCTAGCATTGTACATTTATCTATAGAACTGAACTATTGGTGTTTTGATTGCTAAAAACTACAATGGAAAACATGTACTCTCAATTTTGACCTATAACTTTTCCTGGTCACCTGCTTGTCCTCGGAGATCAGTTTAATGCCATACTGTGCAACTCCATAGAGACAAGCAGGTGATGGGCTCTCCACCAGAAAAGTTACATAGTCCACCTTTAAGGATTAATGAACTTCTACATCTTCATCTCAGAGACAACCCATAGAGTTTGTGAAATATCTGACAATGAGTTTGTAGTTTGTCACACAGACAGGTTCAGACTTGTTGAGACCTACAAAGTGCATGTCAATACTTCAAATACAATAGCAAGAACTAGGTCAGTAAAATGCAAGATTGTTTTTGCTCTTAATCATTGGCATGTCAGTCAATACGATTTCTTGAGAACATTTTTTTTAATCATTTTGAACTAACTGAGCAAAAACAAAACTACGATAGGTCAACAACTTGGGTAGTGGGTATAACAACATCTTTGACAAAGCTTAGGTCTCAGCTTTTATTTACATTTAGGTTATTATAAATTGGGTGACACATCAGATTCATATAGTAATAACTGCATTTGGATCACCATTCTCTAAAAGAAAACTCAGAAAGAACTTATTTCAATGTTTTTATCATTTTCATCAACTCTATACTTTAGTTTGCTGTTTAAATAACTGCAAGCACTGTCTTGTCTGTTCTCCATCACACCATCGCTTCATTTTAATAGCAGTCTTATATCTCTCCATGTCCAAAGTCCACTTGAGGTCCATCCTTACCTCCTATGTGTGTCAACATGTAAATATTTGCGTGTGCTCTTTACACAGACGTCACTCTCTGCAGTGGTCTTTTGTCTGGGGTCTACAGGGCTCTCCTTATTTCTGTCCAACGTCCAAGCTACAAGAATGCAGCCGACTCCATCACTTCCCAATGGCTCAGTCATGCGAGAGGCCCATTGTCCCTACTGCAGCTGGGAAAACACACAAGAGCAGAGCACAGCGGAGAGGAGCTGCCTGTCCTCCTTCAGGTCCTCAGATTTATATTCCTTTTGTTGAGAAGTAAGCAATTAAAAGTGTTTGTTCAACTGGTTATTCACTATATCATATATAATACAAATGTTCATCCCACTAACTGAGAACCAACGGGGGCATGGTGGCAAATAATTCTTGCCCCATTGCAGGAAGGTTCCTTGTCCAAAACTCAGACCATGTGAGGCCTTTTGTTGGTAGGTGTAACCCTAGCATTTTGAGATTTTCTAATCATATGGAGCTCAAATTATTGAAGAAGTTATTAGAAAGTTTGCTGAGCAGAAAGCTGCAGGTAAGGCTTGAAAAGTACTTGTATTAAGAGTATAAACCGAATCTATTTTATATAAGAATAATAAAGGAATTGTACGTAAGATTTTTATTTAAATCCCATAATTATGATGAGGTAGACATGCTCAAATCGTATGTAGTTTTTACTGATAACAATTCTAATGCTAATCTATTATTAATTACAAAGACATTGGGCATGTCCATGCAATTTCTCAACACAACTATCCAATCAGAAGGCAGAATGAGCCTCATAAGTCTCTCGTTTGGGTTGCCAGTTTCAATGCTGACATAGGTTGGTTTAAACCTAAAAGGACTCTCTAATTTGAATTGTCACTACTTAAACCTCAGCACCTGCAGACAATTATTAAGCAATCCATCTGCTGCTGCAGTGTATATATTTGAGAATGAGGAAGTTCTTGTGCTATATGTCCTCAATCTTCAGGTTAAGGGAGTGGCAATCCCAAGTTTAGTTGTGATTGTAGTCAGAGTGGTGATAGAAGTGCCTATTTTAAAAAGTGCAGGCAGTACCATTAAGTCATTCTTCATTACATTTAGTTACAAAATAAATTCCCACATTGCAACATGCGCTTTTGCATATGAACTCTGTGGATGAACTCTCTTTATGTGTTGCGTTATGGGGGAACCTTGTGAAACCCACTAAGGATCTGACCTGATTGCTAAATTTTGCTCGATAACATTCATAACGTCTTTGAACAACCAGAGGGTCAACTCCTTCAGCTCATTTTGTTCAGTACATTTTAAAATGATCAGGAGACACAGCATGTTACTGACGTGCTTTATTGCAGGTCACTCTGAAATGATAAAACCAAACATTCTTACTCCATAATGATATTGTACAGCATTACATCTTATAATTGCAGTCACTATTAATACAATCTCCACTGCTTTGGCAGAAAAACAGGCTTGGGGCCATTAAAACACTGAATATACACAGACTATACAACACAGTAAAAGCATCACCCTTTGCATTTTGGTATGTAACAGACAAAGTTACAAAAACATCTTATATAGAGGAAATTTACTAAAATCTGAACATAAATCCACAATAAGGAAAAGTGAGAAGCGGGAGGCAACTTGCTCCAATGTTTTGATCCCAAGCAAGTGTTATCTATGTCTAAAAATATAAATAGCTCAATAGGAGGTGACTAAAAGTTAAATATGTGACATTTAATAGTAAACAAATACATCCAAACGGTCACTAAATGCTTAAAAAGACACGTTTTTGCAGTCATTCTAAAATATATGGCAATAAAAGCATCTAGAGGTAAAATGAATGGTTGTGTAGGGAATAAAGACCCACCTGGAAATGTGTGAAATATTTTGTATGACAGAGACACCGACTTGCTTCTGGTGGAAGTTTCATTTTTCATTTTGTATTGTCCACACAAATATGGGTATGGTTTATTGCTTATAATATAATAACGGTTTACAGACAAGACCTCTGGATCAGTGAACACAGCACATGGCTTGCACTAGTGTTGTTGTGTTTTTTGGGCAAGACACTTCACTCACTTGGTCTATGTGACTGGTGTGGTGGTTGTTGGTACAGATAACCAACCAAGTGTAATGCAAAGTGACATTTACAGCTACTATAAGAGCAGTATTGGTTAAAGAAATTTAGTTTTCTAACGAATGATAATGTATAATAATTAAGCCAACTCTATATCCAAATGGGTCCACAAATCTGATGGACTGGAATGTGAAAAAATAAATATTGGAATATATATATAAAAAAGAAAAATACCCATGTTTGTGTAGACTTTAAATATTTGAGAATATTGAAATAAGGTTGTACATGGCATATCACATAGTGTGGGATAACGAGAATTGTGGTCCCAGTGCAAATAAAATAGAAATAACTAGAAGCAAACTAGATCATTTAATAAAAAAAAAAAAAAAGATCCTTGTTACCATAACTGAGAAAATGTGCGTGTATAGTACATTCTGAATTTAAAAATGCATTCTACCTCAGAGTATTTCAAAAATGGTTCACTATGGAAAGTCCTTCACAGCAGTAACAAGAAGACAGTCAAGTCAACTTAGTTCTTATGGATATTGGCTCTGGTCCTCTTCTAGTACTGGTTTAGCTATGGTCTAGTCCTGCTTTAGTTCCCCATTCAAAAGATATATAATATTTTTATTTGAATTGCTTATATGACTTGATATGACTACAGAGGGTGGTTGCCAAAGCTGAAACCCATGAGTAGATCACAAAGTTAATTTTTTTTTTTGTTTGGTTTATGTTGCTAACTTGTATCCTAGTTATTAATTTTCATTACTGGGACCACAATTACCTCAATACACTTTGTACCCCATAGAGCACATGTAAAAACATACGTCAATATACCCAAATTTCACTAAAAATCTTGGCTGTTCTCCTCGTTAGCTCTGTTTGTATGTGATTTACATTCATTGTCAGTGGAGATGCAGTGTTCCTGGTTTAAAGACACTTATTATTGAACATAAACAGTATAGTACTAAAAACAGAACTACAGTTTTTTGGGTCAGACCTCTGTCTCCTGGTCCTCTCTCTGGATCATCTGATAATGTTGGCGGTTTTCCAAATATTCAGCCAAGTCGTGGTCCGCTGCTTTCTCTGCGCGCTGTTTAGGAGTCTCCCCCTGGAAAGTCAAGCAAAAAAATTACAGATTTTAACTACCTTTACTTTACAAGGCTACTGTAAATTGTGTAAATTGTAAACTCCTGTAAATAGAAATTGGTATGAGAACAATAGCAAGGTACTTTAAAGTGTATATGACAGGTTAGACTACTCATTTCACTAAAACCTAGTTAACATCATTATATTTAGGATTTCACATGCACAAAAACATGTTTTTTATTTTTTATAAATAATATAAAATAGCAAATATGACAGAGAAGAGGTGGGTTTATAACTGTGCCTAGCAACCATAATGTCAACAATGGCTAAAACTTGACTGACAAAAGTAAATAACACCTATTTTTTAAATGAAGGCTAAAAACTGACTAAAAAACACATTTCTTGCATGTAAATTGTTTCTGCATTTTCAATGGAATTTTAGTTCATACTATGATGATATAAGATTAGTCACACATTTAAGCCTTCAAGTTAAAATATATTTAAAGGTGCACTATGTCACTTTTATGGAAATGAAAGTGATGCCACCGTGTTATGTTACAGCGTCACGTCAGACTTGTGGAGAGGCGACCCCACTCACAGTAAGGATGTATGTTTTAAAGTGAGCTTTTAAACACCTGTAATTAAAATTAAGAAAAGTTTAATGCCATACTGTAGAACAGTGACTTTGACTGCCTTTAACCTTTTCTACATTTGGATGCATTTGTCTTCTCAAAATTTGATGTCCATAGATGATCTGAAGAATGTTGTCACTGAGCTGTGGCCTCACCCTGACCCACACCGCTCCATAGAGCAGAGAGTTCACTAAATCACCCAACAAAGCTCCATCTATCTACTACCATTCACAGTCCTGCTCCCACTAATGAATAAAAGCAAGAGCTGTTGGTTAGACCTGAAGTAATGGTACTCAAATATAATTTTTGGCTCCTTTACCTACCTCCGATTCAGTCCATTAAAAGAAAAATGAATTCACATTATTTGTAATAACTACAATGATTACAAATACAGTCAAAACATCTACAGTAATTTTGGTTGCACTTGTCAACTACATGTTACAATTACATCACTATGAATTTTGTACCCACCACTAAGTTCTCTTTCAAGCTATTACTTTCTCCATTCACTTGTTCTAACATCAAAAAGCAAAATATCCATGTTTACAAAGTACTAAAGTAGTGAGTAGCCCCACTCCACACACAGAGTATCACATGAAGTCTTTTCTTTTGGTGGAGGAGAGAGAGAAAGTGAGATTATGGGCTGCTTCCTGTTAGCTCTGACATCTCCATGGAAACACAGTGCTAAGGCCTTTGTCATGGCGAGTCCCAGTCCCAGATTGTGGCCAGATCCTGCAGAGTCCGGGCTCCTCATTGACACACAACATTAATCACTTTATACAAGTGGGTCACATGCTCCTGAGACACTCGCTGGTGGCAATCAGCGGCCTGAGAAACCACCAGGAAATGTGCCTTGGAGATATAACAGAATTAAACTGAAATGGGCTTGGTGAATTAAAGGGGATGTATTTAAAGTATGATGGCAGGAAGCGCTGGTCTCGTGCTTCCCTAAAGTTCTCCATACTTATCTCAATGCCACTGGCTTAGTCCAAACCAGTTAAAGTACATATGACAGGTTGTCACGTTTTTTAAAAAAATTATGCTGTGGTAAATATTTATCATACTCTAACATCAGTTAATTGGCAGTTTGTAGAAAAAAGCACAAAAATACAGGAAGTAGTGGTGAGTTCTAAAACAGAATCCCTCTAACTACTAGTATGATGTCCAACACTGAAAATTCCATGCAAAATGCTCGGACAATTTATGTGCAAGGATGTTTTTTCTGTCAGTTTAAACCTTTATTTAACAAAATTAATGTTTGTCATTCATTTGTATAAGCCTAATCATAATTATTGTGTAATTTAGACACACTTTGGCCTTTGATAACATTATGGTTGCTCGGTAGCATTTGATGCCCAAAAATTTATAAAATTATAAACTTACTATATTAAAAACACTAAAATCAGGAAAAACCAGATAACAAACTAAGTAAAATCTGAAATGTAATGGTGTAATGGTAAATGTTTTAGTGAAATGTGTTGTCTAATCTGTCATACATACTTGTTAGTAAGTTAGTAAAACTGTGAACAACAGTGAATTGTGTGTGAGAGAAATGGTTTCCATTTTGGTCTTCTTGTCAGTTACCTGGAGGTCAGTCTTCATGAGGGAAGCTCCAGCCTCCACAAGGAAGTGACAGATGGTCCTCTGGCACGAACTGGCCGCTTTGTGCAGCGCTGTCTCTCCTCTGGATCAGAATACACACAAAAATTATACATGCAATCGTGCTTATCAAAGTACATCAAATATTTACCCCAGTACTATTATACATGCAATAAAGATAATTCACTCACGTCTCCTTCTCTGTGATGTCCAGGTGAGAAGTGGGCACTGGAAGAAAGAAAACACATTAGACACGTTTAAAAACCTTTAATCAAACTAAAATAACCAACAAGACAACTTAATGTTTTTAGACCACAATGTCAGTTTGCTATTTAGAAGTTTAGTGAGAATTGACGCCTGTTCTTGTGATAAGTGCCAGTTCTATGTTTTGTTTCTGATTACTTCCTATTAATTTGTGTATTTCTTCCTTCGCATATCTGTTTTATTACTTCTGAATTTGCATAAGAAGATTAATAGATTAAATAATGTGTAAACAATTCTCAAATAGCATTGCCACAGTGTATCGTGCCATGTTTCAAAATAGACCTCTATCAGCCACTGAACTGTGCATCCACATTTTAAAACACTCCACTAGCTAACCCCATTCAAACACTGTGTCCCATAATGATGACACAGATTGCTTTGGTTGGAGCAGTAAGCAGGTTCCTGTCACAGTAAAGAGTTCAGCCTCATCCATCAAACTGAGTGTGATTTATTGACGGAGACAGGACTCAATGCACAGGCTGTGTTCACCTGCTGCTGGGAAAACACGCTCCACTTTACTATAAGCCAACACTCAAGCAAACTAATCAAATTGGCCGTAATTCAGTTTAAGTTCATTCATTCGTAGCTGGTACTGTTATAAATGAAACTGCACTGGGTTTCACACAAAGTACCACCTTAAGAATGTTATGTTTTCAGTTGTTGTCTTAACCTGAATAACATAAAATTAATATAGCACAGGGAAGACTACTCAAGGCTAAATCTAGACTAAAATCTAAACCAAAACCAAAACCATACCAACATACCAATTTAATTAATGTTTTAATACCGAATTAAAACTGGCTTAAATGGATTTTAGTACAAACCAAAGCAGGATTTAAAGGAACCCTATGATCTTTGATTTTAAATTTAAGAAACACCTATCTGCATCCCCATATCAGAGGTGGACATTTTCAAATCATATATAACATTTACTGAAGAATTATAATGCATTAATGCATTTGGGGTGCCCATTTCAGTTGGTATAAATCTAAACTCCCAGATCTGAATGATCACTACCTAAACCCCAGCACCAGCAGCCAATCAGTGCTAGTGCAGCCTCTACAGCTGAGCTTTGGCCTGTCCATATGCTGAGAATGAAAAACTTGTATTTGTCCTCTAACTGTACGTTTAGGCACTGGCAACCTAGGTTCAATTGTGATTGCAGTACCTTTTGAAAAACTGTAAGAGCGCAGATTACAAGAAGTTATTTTTAATCAGGCTCTGAGTCAAACTAAATCATGTTTAGAACTACCCCAGTGGTCAGCAGAAGTTATAAGGAAAACTCTTCTTCAAAAAGTATGATTAATTTCATTCCAATTTTAAACATATAATTAAAATGTGTTTGGTGCATACAGCAAAGTGATTTTAAGTGAAGTCAAATTTAACAGATCTGTAACAGATTTACAGTATGTCTTACAGAAAGTCCTGAAGCTAGTTGCACAATCAAAAGCACAGATTGTTTGTGTACATGTTTAGTAAGGGCAAACCAGTTTATGTTAAGTGGGCTAACTTGAAAATTGGAATCTCAACTCTCAACTGTCAATCAAAATATTTCAAAGTCAAGCAGCAAGCAACATTAAGACATTAAGACAAGTCATGTAGCAAAAAGCATAGTCTTCATTTCCAAATCTAGACGAAGAAGTGTATGAATGTATTTTAACATGTTTAAAAAGAAATATTTCCTTACCATTGTCAATGAGGTACTTCATAATGTCCTTGCTGCCAATATCCACCCCATGATGAAGCAGTGTGCAGCCATTCTGGTCCTGAAGCAGCAGGTCTGCCCCCTGTTGGTGCAGCGCCTTCAACTGCAACAAAACACAAGATTTATTTTGGTATCAAACTTCTTTTAGTACAGGATAATGTGAGGACTTACTCGGCTCAGGTCTTCAGTCTTTACACAGTCTATTAACTCTGCATCTGCAAAAGACAAGCCAGATTGTATCCAGAATATAAAGTGGCACACTATGAGCAATTTTATCTAGAAATGCAACAATTCTGTTTTTCAGGTGCAGTGCCAATCTGACACTGAATTTTTAAGTTTGTGACAATATTTAATATCACTGTAACCCTTAACACCACTTTCCAAACCAAATCTTGATTCAATACATACATGATCCAGGCTTTTTTTAGATCAATATTGGTGTGCTTAAAATTCCTCCAAAAGATTATTTACAGTCTTTTTAAGTACTAGTTCAGTTATAATTTCACATGGTAGATGGGGGCTTATGTAACTCAACTGCCGACAATCGTGTCTTTAGGGCTAAATAATGGCATACATTTTTGACGCTGCTGTGGAAAAAATTGTTTTACTTTTGTTTATCTATACTGACAGAAAAGACTTTGTGCCAGTTTGTGTTTCATATGAATTAGGCCCAGTACTTGGAGAGATTAACCATTAACCCAGGTTACATGCAAACAGGTGAAAGTCATCATAGATTTCTGACCCAGGTCTATTTTAAACTACAAGGATATTATAAAGTGATGTCACATGAACCAAAACTACTGATACCAGATCACCAATGCCAAGACAAGACTTTTTATCCACTGGCATTGGCAATTAAAATGATTTGGATGTGCCTATTGTGTCTTTTGTCATCTTGTCTGTTTAAAGGTGCATTGAGTAACTTTTTTAGTGGAGGGTCCGCCATCTGCTTATCTTCATGCAGATGTTGGTTTTGCCAAGAAATCACTTTTAAACTTAGCTACTGTGAAAAAATTAGGACATGGCATCACCAAGTCAAGTTTGAGGTCAAATCTATGGAGAAGCGAGCTCACTTCCAGTAAGACTGCATCTATTTCAAGCTGTTTTTGAGCAAAAAAAACACAGAGAATTAAATAAATGAAGAGAAATATGTTCACTTCCATAGTCCATAGTCATCACATCTCCATGGAGATGAGCAGACTTGCACAGTGCTTTTTAAAATGTATGCCAGATAATGTAATGAGGTCAAGTATGTGCAAGTACCTTTTTCAGTGTTGCGTGGGACTGGAGTTGACGAACTGCAAAACAAACAGGACAAACCAATGCATCATTTTTAACAGTTTCTTCAACTATTTGAATGAGGCGGACGGACACAAAGCACAACCAAAACCGAGCCACAGGAAGTCAGCGAATCACAAACAGGAAGTCAACGGGTCAGATAAAGGAAGTGGAGGCTCACACACAGGAAGTACTGGACTCCTACCTAATCATGGGCCTGAAATCGGCGAGGGTTGTATTGGAACGGTGCACATTGAGAATCTTTGCCCCTCTCCTTTAAATTAACACACAAGAGACAATGAGGACAACATGCACCAGCAGTAGCAGTCTTGTTTTATCTCTCAAAAATGTCCACTTTAGAAATCACTGATCAAATACTGTCCTAAGACTCCCACCAGTTGTCTGAGGTCAGTAAAAAATAAATAAAACAAGACAGTGCCATACTAGATAATGGTTAAACCAACAATGTATTAAAGGCTCAGGTTATTAATAAATTAACATTAAATACAAGTTTCACCCTTTGCAATATACTGCAGCTATACTAAAGTGGAGCTGGGGGTCAGGAGGACCAAAATTTGGATCCCCAAAGATTCTCAGGGAGATCGCAGGAGTTCTTAGCAAAAAGGTCCAAACAATGTTTTGTAAATTTAATGATTGGATGGCATGCTAATTGCATATTAAATAGTAATTTTATAATCATTTATAATCATGAAGGTCTAAAACATCTTTATTAACCAGAAAATAATTATTTTTCTGTATAAGAAAGTCTTTTTATAGGAGAATGAGTGAAAAAGGTTGGGACCTGTACTAGTGTAGATGCCCCTTAAATGTAACAATTTAGTTTCTAAGCCTCCAAAATATAAGATAAAGATAAATAAGGTAAATATCCCCAGGAGTTATAATGGCACAGAATCAGCCACATAAATAACTATCTGACCCAAATTACCATTTGTTGATTACACATACACTACACTAGGCCTACGATTAAATGAGCACAATGTACATTTTGGTCTGTGGCGGGCGCACCACCTGCTTGTTATAGTTCTCCCTAGAATGCCCCACAGTATCGCATTATGAATTATCCACAGATACACGGTGATAATAGCACCTGGTCCCAGTAAGAATGTATTTAGTCAAAATAAAACACCTAAGCAGGATATGCCATACTGTGAAACATTAGAGGGAATGTAATATGACCTACATGTTACAAACAAAAGTTACATCGTGCATGTGTTCAGTAACTGGCATATCTAGAAAAGTTTGCCAGTTACCAATTTCCCTGACCATTTTCATAATATGGTGCTTTTTCAATCTTATTTCTGATATTTAAAATATGAAATGACCTTGAACCTAATCTCAACTGTATTTTTGAAATTTTTTTTTTTTTTTGCATTTTTCACAAAAATAATATAGAAAATGTCTCCCAAACGTAATATCAAGTGTGTTGGCAGCTATTTCTTTGTTGGTTAACTAGCTCACTGCAACCTGTAATCAACTGCTTAAACTATAAAAATATAAAATGCTGAGCGCTTCCAACACATCGAAGTTTCCTCTAGTTTAACCACAAATGCAAGACTAGCGTAATTTAACAGTGGAGACAGAAGGGGAAAACCAGCCCATGTTTTAACCTATAATTAACAGATTATGGTTAAATCATGAGCAGCAGCATTTAAATGGAAACAGTGGGAATGAGTCATGAAGCAATGGAAACGTGGAAACGCTGAAACCTAACCTTTCTGTAACTTTTGTAACTCTTATTTTAAAACTTAAAGCATTAGGGGCGGTTTACAGCAAGCCCAAGAGAATTTGTTAGAGAATAGTTTTGATTGATCAGGAACCTGATAGTATGGGTTATAATCGGTATCTGCATGAACAATACTACTCAAAGTGCTACTTTAAACACAATTTTAGTAGCATTTTAGATATAAAATACTAAACTTTTATAATTTAACAGTTTTTTTTGTTCTGCATATTACTGTATAACTTAAATGAATATCAAAATCTTATATACATAAAAAAGGGAGAAATATATCACCAAATAACATAATAAAAAATAATTTTAAAATATGTTTAATTTAACCGTTTAAAGGTGAATTAAGTTGGTCTTACGTTTCTCCACAATAGAAAAGTTTAAGTGGTCAAACAGCCATGGATAGGGACAGACAGGACATGTGCTGTTCTCAGTAACAAGGATTTTAAAAGTAGTCAAGATAATTAAAATTACATGTATAAAATTATATACAAATACGATGCTACTAAAAAGTGCAGCTGCACAAAATATCTATCTACTGTAATGAGTCATTTTCTATCCATGGTATAATATTAACTTACAGCAGTCAATTGATAATGCATCTAATAATATAACCTATAATAATAATATAGGATATGCAGTATTGAATTTTTCTGCCACGTTTGCACAGCTATTAAATAATTACCATTTTAAGATAGTAAAATAGTTTGAAAACAAATACCCAATGATCCAGCACTCTCTACTGCCACACAAAGGCATAAAACAGTTATTACATGATTCATGAGCTTAATTGATTGTGCACTAAAGCATTGCTGTCAGGAGATTCAAAGTATTACAGATCATGAATTCTAATTATTTAGTTGTACTACTTACATTTGCATTACATGGCAGACTACATATTTCCCAGAACATGAATCTAAGATAGGACTGGGTAAATAATTGAATTTAAATTGTGATTACAGTTATTGCTAAACTGTTCACTTCTACAGTGGCTTTAAAAGATAAATCACAAAACATTATTAATAAATGACAGTGCATGTATTCTTTCTTTGTAAGTAACTTTTAACAGTACAAATATCCATAATCAAGCTGACCTAAAATTTATATTGTCACTTCCAACAAAATAAAAACTATCTTAAGATCTACTTCCTGAATCTTCCACTGGTCTTTATACTTTTTGAGTAAACAGTAATCATACATTTCACAGAACAGCCACAAGTAAAAAAAACAAAAAAACAAAAAAAACAGAAATGGTTACCTGCAGAGTGCTGCCTTTGAGTTTTGAGACAGAGCATCAGATACTGAGCTGTCACTAGAAATCCTCTTCCTCTGTAAATCTCGGATCCTAAAAAATAAAACAAAGAAACAAAGCCAAACAATAAGATACAAATATGAGGAAACAATGCAGATCAAGCCCTTTCCAATATGCTGCATACACTGAAACAAAAATCAACAAGTTAACACAATAATCAAAACAATTACATAATAAATAGTAAATCAGAATAAAACCAACAGAGTAAAAAAAGAATAGACCAATAAGAGACCAATCAATAAAAGCAAATCAATAAAACAAACAAGAGAGGAGCGCACAACTCACACTGTGTTACATGCCAGAGAATATATTAGAGTAAAAATAAGTCCACTCTGACGACAAACCCCATAATTTACCTAATGAAATAAAATTAATTTATAAATATATATGTACAATCAGAAAATACTAAAATATTAACTGTTAAACCAAGTGTATTTTTTCTAAGAAAATAATAATAATAATAACTTTTGACTAACTGGTTTATATATTGGACATGTCCTAAAATATTATATGACAGAATCGCTCATCCCTAATTTAAATAACAGGGTATTGCTGTTCAGTATTCTGTATTTAGTATTAGGATATTCTGTTTCCACTCCAACATAAGTGGGTGGAAGAAATTTTTACTGCAGTGGTAAGGCTAATTTCTGGTTTATTTTTCCTCTTGTGTTGGATAGTATTCAGTTGTATTCAGTATTGATCGTCTCTATATGAAAACAATAGCCGCAGAGACCGGTCAGTGTTCCCCGCTCGTTGTCATGGAAACAGCACTTCAGAGATCGGCAGGAGTTCGTTTTGTTGGAGATGGTTTCAGATAACGACCAGCTGCTGCCCGTTCACACCAGCTCAGTTCATTCACACATTCAGTCATCACAATAGAGATTGTAGTGCGTACGGTGGACACTAGGAGGCGCTCAGCTCACACGGAAGAGACTAGTCACTATTGTGTTTAGAGAGGAGCAGATACTTCATGATTTGATCCTTTGATGCGTGATTGAAGTTTTGGTTGAGATGACAAAGCTGTTAGTTGAGAAAAATGCTCTCTAAAATTTGTACTAATAAAGTAGGAAATAAAACATCTATTACTACTTTTATGATATTATTGCTGTTACCAATAATACTAATGCTACTAGAGTTTACAATTTTTGAAAGGTTCAAGTTAGAATATATAATACTTTATATATTCCTCAAGATGTTACACTTTTCAAATTATTATCTAAAAAAAAAAAACCACACACACACACTTTTTCTATTTTAAAAGTAGAGTATGTAGCCTGCATTTAAAAACTCACAAACTGAACCTGGGAAGTGCTAAGGTTGAGGTAGTATGGTTTAAATCAACTGGAACTTGTGTACTTTTTGTAGTTAAATGAATCAACATTACAAGTGTAATCAGTAAAAATAATATTAGATTTTGACATTACTCCATATCGAGTTTTACTCATAAAACGTGAAAAGAAAATTCTCCATACTTTATATGATCCAGTATGTCACTGTCTCACCTATTAGCTGCTGAGTTGGTGGGCGTGGATGGGGAGGTGGGAGAGGAGCCGAAGTTGAACTCTCTCTGTTCGTCTGAGTCCACGAGGTCCGGCATGGCGGGGGATGTCCCCACTGTCTCTGTCTGCACCAACTCTGGGTCTAGAATGTATAACTCTTCCTGAGCGATCTCTGTTACGTAGTTCAGATGCTCCTAAAACGCACAGCACACAGTTCATGTGGTGAGGAGAGGAACCAAGAGGGTTACTAAATAACTGTGTTAATTTGTTGGTCATTATATTGTTATAAATGTGATAATGCTGTTTAAAAAGAACAACTTCCAGCTTCCTGTTATTTGCAATATTTTGAGGACTTTTACCATTCATAATATATTTTTCCCAATGATTCTAGGATAAACCCAAAGGGTAGCATTGATTTAACTATTGCAGTCACCATTCACAAATTCTAACTCTATTAATTACATCTTCAGTTGCTTTACAAATGACTAAAGTGTAATTTTGTACCTGAGCTCTGTCAATCCTGTAGAAACGGTCAGCAGTAGTACCTAGTCAGAAAAACAGAAATGTTAAAATTTCATATTATTGTTATCTTAGGGCAGCAAGTTGTTAAACTTTTTATTTAGTCATATATTTGTGTACTTTGTCTTATTCATTTTGTACTTACAGTCAAGGAAACACCATTTCATGGACAGCTTCTGAGATGAAAAACACTCTCCTCTCATCGGATCATTGTCCTGTAAAATTAAACATTTGCAATCAACATCACTCTGTTTTTATGTTAATTTTAAACCTTTTTTGTTCAAAATAAATCACAGTGCTTTTTACCTGATCAGTGTCGTCCTGCAGTCTCTCTATATGCCGCCGGCAAGTTTCCAGATCACAGTCTCCAGGAACAGTGATAAGACCTAGGGGAGTGGCTATAAGAGGTACACAAAATAATTTAAATTATTATTGGTCAAACTTTTCCAAAAAGTCAATTTTAATGTGTGTAAGTTACTGACAGGCGTCTTTGAGCTGGTCTTTGTCGTAGTGCAGAGCCTCATATGCGGCCATACTGATCCTGTTCACACGAATCTGCAGCTTCTCTGGCACCGGCTGTTGACTGTCAGGCAAAAATAATACTTCTTAAAGACAATATATATATTTTCTACTCAAATCTGAGAGCAAAATACTTATTTCTTGCTTTTCAGGCACTGATGTTTTTCCTGATCTTACATATCTTTGTCACATACAGGCAACCACAACTTTTTCTTTTAACCACAAAGCTCTAATTTCTACAGTCTTGGCATGAGATCACAAGAGCAGTGATACCCATCCAGAAATACAACTGACTTGGCATTTATTAGTCTTGTATGGTGCTTTCTTGCATTACTCATTCACATCCCACACTAGCCAGAGTGTGCTAGCCATCACCATCAATCAACAACACAACATATTTATACATAGCAAGGCTGATGAAGTGTCTTGCTCAAGAACACAATGACACTTGTAGTTGTTGGGATCATACTGCCAAACTTTGGTCTTAATACTCTACCCAAAGAGGCCTTATCTTCACACTTAAATATCTGAATGTAAGGGTTGTGGTTCTCACTCATTGAGGTGGGGCATGGAGATCCTCCTCTTGGCCTTCTGGACCATGTTGGCCTGGGAGCGAAGTCTAATCCTGATGATGGAGGGGGCCAGTTTACAGGGCTCTCCGTCCACCTGCATCGGGATGGACTTGAACGTGCTCAGAGTCACTTCTCTGCACTGATGCAGCCGCTCACCGTGACCGCCCACCTGCAGCGTCGCCTGGGTAATGATCAGATTTACACTATGTAACAACTAAAGTTACATTCTAGGGAATTTATTTTGTTCATGTAGAATTACAAGTTTCATAACATATATGCCAAAATCTCATATGATAAATTTCTTTGAAATGTTGCAAAGAAACATCACTGTATATAGACAACTATTGTAACTTTGTACCAATTGTAAAGTAAATCCAATATTAGTAACAAACACAGACCAGTGACGTCATGGTGAAGCCGATGACCTCGATACAGCCGTCGTCGTGTCTCTGAGGCTCAAAGTCATGGTGTTCCCCCGGGTTTCCCCACGGTACTGTCCCGGCACAGTATCTATCCAAATGAACATGTTAAACAGGAGTACAGTAAGTCTTAATATTTTTCTTTTAGTGGATTAACATTATATTAACAGTTTTAATAAAAGTAATTTGTGCAAAAAGGACTGCATTTGATAAATTATTTTATTAAATCTGAGACCCATGTTTAAGATGAGCATACAAACTGATGCATGTAAAGAATTAGATGTGTGAGTGGGTAGGACCACACAGTTTGAAAACAGGAGAAATTAGATATTTTTTAAATACCAAAATACTCCTTAATCGACTCATATTACACTATTTTTGACCTGTGTTCTATGTCTTTGTTTTAATGTTTCACCTGGGGATGTTGAGGAAGAGGAGGCACTGAAGCTTCAAATCTTGTATTTTGGCAGTAAGGTCTGTCCCATCACACTGAGGAGAGATAAATACAGAAAAAATAGATGAACTTCAAATCATCAAAAGTATTTTAAGATTATTAGCAGAGGCACCTCTTCGTATTTAGTTTTAATTTTTCCATTAATGACATAGAGGTTTAGGACAATGAACATAGCAGAGCGTACCACAACTCGGATGTGCTTGGCGAGATCTTTGGAACTCCCGCTGAGGAAATCGGAGAAGGCCGTCTGAAAAGCACAAACACAGGTGTGCCTCAGATTAGATTCAATTTCAAATCTCTGTTTTATTCTCATCTGGACAAAAGGACGCACTTACTCCTGCATAGAACATTTTATTCCTGAATCGACTGTTGAACTTCTCCGGATTCGCCTCTGAAATTACAAAAGGTTTGATTAAAATAACAATAAGGTCAATGTTAGAAACCCTTGGACACTGTAACTGTCTATATTGTATTTTATATGAATTATGTCTCTTATTGTGTAAAAATTCTTGATTAAGAGTTTGACGAATAGACATAGTCCATAATACACAGACTGAAACATACATCAGTAAACATGATATACTATTTGGGTTTTTATTTTGCTTATTTTCAACAAAAATCAAGTTTTATACTTTCAATGCACAGCTCATTCGAATACCCTGGCACCCTAAAAACCTCAAAGCTTATGTCACTGCAAACTAAGTAAGAAAATCTAACTTTTAAATAAGGGGAAAAATGTGCTCACCTCTTGATTCATGGAAGCCCAGTGTGACGTGAGCATCAAAGCCCAGACTGAAGTAGTTATTGAAGACGTCAATGGGAAGCTAAATGCAAAATTAGTTTTTCAGTGTTAAGAAATGTACAACCAATACTTTATATACATAGAAATATAGTTGAAGCAAGATGGAAAATTTAAGTCTAGATGTAGCATTAGAGTTGTCCAATCAATCAATACTATAACTATAACTGAAACTACATATTAACTTGAGCAGGTATTGATCCTGCGAGGGGGGACAAAAAAACAATAACAACACAATATGGTGCATTGGCAAAAGTCTCTGGCCACGAAGTATCCAGGTAGACTGTCTCAGTATAGATTACAATGGGCTATAAAAATATACTAACTAAACCAGGGAAGGATAACATTGACAGAGTATCAACTAAACTTAATATTGTTTTGAATATGACTTTTGTCCATAATATCTATTTTTGTATGACTACTTTAAGCACCTTGTCAGTCTGCTGCTCGTCCCTGTCCTCAGGCCGGGCCTCTGGGTTTGGCTCCACCTCGAGGTCCCATCGGTCCAGCTGCACTATGTTCCCATCCTCCACGTGGGACAGGATCTTTGTAATGGGCTCATCTGTGTAACCCTGAGCCAGAATGGAAGTCAAAATTAGTCACTTTATTCAGTGGAAGTGATAGAAAATGTTTATGTTTCTATAGTAAGGTTTTGCCAAGAGACACTACTCACCCCACCCCAGTTGAGTGTCCGGGCCAAGTCATTCCCCGTCCCGAGTGGTAAAATGGCGACTGGTGGTGGAGGCCGGATCTTCAATTGGTCTAGCACTGATAAAATCCATCCCACCTGCACAAACAAAAGGATTGTGATTTCGTGTTTGGCTTTGGATACAATAAACACTTGAAGATTGTTTTTTTAAACATAGTACACAACTAAAAATGAAAATATCTGGAAACTTTTCATACACGATAATAAAATAACTGAACCCACTCACCGTTCCATCTCCCCCACAGGCCAGTATCCTTAAGTTTGGCACTTTGGCATAGAGCTCTAACCTAAAGAAGAAATTAGTATCAGTACATCATAGTAGGTATTTTGACATGAATCAGTTTATAGATATACTAATTATTCAGATCATGAAATTGCAAAAATGACAATATAAATAAAATCAAGTAATCTCTATTCAGTTCAATATACTTCTGATTTTTGTCAGTGTTCCATAAAAAGTTTACAATTTGAGTTTTGGTTTTACCCGTCTTTGGGTCCAGACTTTGACAGATCAAACACCTGCCGAGGGTTTAGATACCACATGAAGGACTGGATGATTTTTGCTCCCTGAAAAATTAAGATTTTTAGGTATAATTATTTCTTTTTGACAATAAAATGTAAGAATTTTGTGAGCCAGTACCTGATTTCCTCCACTCTTTGGGTTTACAAACACTAAGAGAGGTTTCATTAACTGAGAGGGAAGAGGCTTCACTAAGAACGGCTTCCACCGACCATCCTGGAGCTGACATGAAAGACAATTTTGTGTAACCAAACAATATATCCATACAAACATTACTGTAAAGTACGCCATATAGAATGGAATGGAATACATAATATAGTTTAGTTTAATTTTAGGCCATATTCACCTCATATTCACAGGCCTTTTGAAATCTAAACAACTAATTGATTAATCAAAAGAATAACAACCAGATTAATTTATGAGTCCAGGTGCTCAATTCAGATATGACAATTGAAGGAATAATCTAAAGATGAAATTGTATTGCAAACTTGTAAATCAAATCCTAACTGTGAACAGTCATTGCTACCGACTGTCTTTTTAAAAAGGGACTGTAGCATCTACTGTATTTTTAATTTTAGAACTTTTGTAATTTGCTCAACTATTCTTTATGCCTTTATTTATTTTATTTTATTTATTTATTTATTTATTCATTTTGAGCAGCTTCATACATTTACTATGCACAGAGTGCACATGTACCACAGCATTCTCACCTCTGCTCCCTTTTTGCTCGATTTATTGCTTTTCAGTGACGTCCTCTTCTTCTTTTTACTGGACTTTAAAGATGTCTGCAGAATAGATAGAAACATGTTTTCTAGATACAACAAGAACAAGAAACAACATCTACATAGAAATGTGTAGATTTAGGGGAGCTAAAATGTACATAATCATGATCGCTCATTTTTGCTACATTTTTGATTGTTCATTTTTGCGACAAAATACAATGAATGCACTTTAGAAATTGTAGATATAAAAAAAAACTTTTAACCTGTGGTTTTCGGACTCGAATGATCCAAGTGGGTGGGACTATAACAGCGGCATGAGCTCCTAAAGAACAGCACTCCTCGATCTGCTGCAGCATGAAGCATGTCACCTTATTGTGATACTGAAACACACAATTAAAAAAGATAAAACTAATGATACTGGTGGCAAAGAACAAATACAGTGATAACTAAATTACAAAGAAATAATTACGAAGAAACTTTAAAACTCAAAAATATTATACTGTTTTAAACAAGTTTAAATGAAAATAAGAGCATGGACAGTTTTTATTTATTACTAAATGTTCATTGTTTATCCTGGTGTGATTTTATATTGTATTACTACTCACAGCCTGTTTACACCATGAGCAGCTGATGGCCACAATCTCTTTACTGTGAAATGAAAACTTCTGTTGAAATCCCTGTTAAACATAAACATGGAGGTTAGTTTATAAAGTAAAAATTAGAGATGCACAGATATCGATACTGGATCCAGAAAGATGTACTGAAGGTTCAGAGCATATCGTTTAGAATAGAGTATATCGTTTAGACCATTTACTAGCCACTGTTGACACTAAGCATCTAAAAACATATTTCATTGTGTACAAAACCACTGTAGACAGACTGATGGAAAAATAATAATTCTAAGTAGAGGTCGACCAATATGGATTTTTCATGACCGATGCTCACGCTGATTGGTTAGAATCCACAGAAACCGATGGCCACTGCTGATATTTATGGGCTGATATGTGGAGACAATTTTTATTATTTTACCCAAGTTATGTGATTTAAATTGACTACAAACTCAGTCAGAGCCCTTTTTAACCCTAACCTATAGGGGAGCTGTGTAGTCATGTTTAGTGCATATTGATCTCCTCTGAAGTTTTACGACTGATACATTAAAAAGTGCAAATATTGTATCAGCCAATCGATATAACATATATAATTTGTCAGCCTGATTATCCAACATATTCACTCGAGGTACAGAACTACAGATATCGGTACAACTGTGCAATTATCATGCTTGAATTGTGATTGCAATTATTGCTTTGAATATGAATTACATTGACATGAATGAATTACATTTACAAAAATGTAAATATGTTCAATTAAATTCTGTTTTGACTGATATGGCTGCTTGCTTCATAAAGTATTACAAATAAATTAAAAGAAAAATATATTTATAATAGTGATTTCAATTATCACCCAAGTTATTGTAATGGTAATTTGATCATTGCCAAAAAGAAATTCTGTTTTCTTAAGTTTTGTCTAAATGCGTAATTTCTATGTAATGCAATCCCTCAGCTGTCCAGGTAGGATCCATAACAAAAGAGAAATTCAATTCTGCCAACTGGACGCAAGTTTTTTGATCAAAAGTTCTGATCCTCAGTTCTGATCAGACATTGCCTTTTATCTACCTGAATGGAACAGCTAACTACCCTGAAACTACTTTGAAACTAACATACCTACTTGTTTACAGTTTCTGTTTGCCAGCTAGGTGTACTGAACTACACTAAGTGTAGGCAGTAGGCATGCTTCACACTTCGTGTAGTTCAATAGATCTACAGTAGCTAACAATCAGAACCTGTAAACAAGTAGATGTGCAAGTTTCAGAGTAGTTTTCAGTCAGTTGATTTTCTCTTTTGCTAAATGCATAATGTGTAAGTTTGTTGTTGTCTAAAAGAGGCTAACCTTTCCACATTGGCGACATTTCCCCGCCTGCCGCCTCCTGTGCACCCAGTGATGCCTCACAACGCTCGGCTGAAAGAGAAAACTGTTTTTAATGGAGGTGTAGGCTCAGTTATTTTCACTCTTCACACCAAATTCACAGACACAAATAATCAGCATTCAAATAATTTTTAGTGTAGTTTACAAGTTTCATAAGAATAATTAAAAAACATAACAATTTAACAACTTAAAACCATTTGACAATTTATTTCATACTGAGAAAATATTAATCAACATTAACACAGCAAACTTATCTAAAGGAGCACTATGTAACTTTTCTGGTGTTGGATCTGTCAGCTGCTTGTCTCCATTGAGATGTTATAGTTTTTCCCTAGATTCCACACATAGCAGTAAACACCTCGATCTCCGCGGAGTCAAGCAGCATGACAAAATACAGGTTAGATCTGTGGAGAGGCATCCCTGCAAACAGTAAGAATGCATGCTTTTCCATGCAAAAAAGTTTAAAGCTACACTAAACATTCCAGGCAAAGCATTAACAGGTTCATGGAGACAAGCAGATATCAGACCCTCTACCAGCACATAGTGCCCCTTTAATTGCAATAGGCATATTTTCAGATGACTCAAAACTAGATGGGAAATAATCTAAGACTGCATAAAGTCTAAAATCTATAATGAAAGCTGCACATAATCAGAACTATGTGTAATGTGTGATGGAAATTGATATTGTGGAAACATTTCTCTCAATCAGTCTTTGTGTAAATGAATGTGATTTCTACCTGAAACCCAGACCAGTCATTAACATGTTTTACACATGCGCAGACACAACTGTCCCCACCCCCAAGGAAACTGTGTTGTCCTCAAATGTAAGTTAAGTCTGTGAAACAAAAGTAGATATGTATGTAACTTGTATTTCTGTATAAATACTCAGAGGTCAGATGGCCTGGGGCAGATGCTCTGGAGGGAATTCTTCAAGACATATATAATTTATATATAATAAACACAATGAACCAATGAAAAAACACATTTAAAACTACAGCAATTTAAGGGATGTGACAATAAATTTTACCAACCATTTGTGTCAAGTGACTGACCTCTCTGACAGTCCGAGATCCTGGTTCCCTGAATGAAGGCTTGCACCTGAAGTTTATCTGAAAAGAGAATAAATATAAATAAATAAATAAAACAATCACACTAAATTAAAAAACTAAAACCAGTTTTACCTTCTCCAACTGCTCCATGCACATTGTGTGCACTGAAATCTTACAACCAGCACACTTCTTCCTGGCCACTGACTTTTGCTGTAAAGAGAGAAAATGAAAAAATTATTAATTACAGATGCATTCTGTAACTTTTCCAGATGGATAATCCACCACCTGCTTGTTTATGTTGTTGTTCTGTATTTAGATGTTACTGCTTTGTCTGGAATGGTATAAACCTATCTATCTACATGGAGACAAACATTGCAATACAGGCAATGCAATAACATCTCCATAGAGAGCAGAAGGTGGCGGACCCTTCAACAAAAAAGTCACTTGACACTCCTTTAAATAAGAGACTGACAATGTGTTTTTTGTTTCTTGTTCAAGGCCTGATACAAGAGATTGGGTTGATATGTAGGGCAAATTTTAATAATCTTCTCAAAATTATGTAATTTAAATTGCTACAAACTCACACAAAGCCCTGTTTAACTATAATTCTGTAAGAGTTTTGTATTCAGGCTAATCATTACCTAAACTTAAGTGTTCAAATAATTCTTTACAGTGGAGTAAATAAGTATTGATCCCTTGCTGATTTTGTAGGTTTGCCCACTGACAAAGAAATAAACAGTTTTATTTTAATGGTAGATTTATTTTAGCATTGAGATATAGAATATCAAAAAGAAAATCCCGAAAATCACATTACAGAAAATATATGAACTGTTTTGCATTTCATTCTGTGAAATAAGTATTTGATCCCCTACAAACCATTAAGAGCTCTGGCTCCCACAGACCAGTTAGACACTTCTAATCAACTCATCACCTGAATTAGACCCCTGTTTTAACTAGTCACCTGTTTAAAAGACCCCTGTCCACAGAATCAGTCCATCAATCAGACTCCAAACTCTCCAACATGGGAAACACCAAAGAGCGGTCAAAGGATGTTGAGGACAAGATTGTAGACCTGCACAAGGCTGGAATGGGCTACAAAACTATAAGCAAGAAGCTGGGTGTTAAGGAGATAACTGTTGGTGCAATTGTTTGAAAATTTAAGAAATATAAAATGACCATCAATTGATGGTCTGGGGCTCCACACAAGATTTCACCTTGTGGGGTTTCAATAATCATGAGAACAGAGAGAAATCAGCAAAGAACATCACGGGAAGAGCTAGTCAATGATCTCAAGGCAGCTGGGACCATAGTCACTAAGAAAACCATTAGAAAGACTTTATGCCGCAATGGATTAAAATCCTGCAGTGCTCCAAGGTCCCCCTGCTTAAGAAGGCACATGTGCAGGTCAGCCTGAAGTTTGCAAATGAACATCTGAATGATTTAGGGAGTGATTGGGAGAGCTCAACTCGCCGTGGAGGAAGAGAAATGCTGCCTATGACCCATAGACTGTATAAAAGAAGTGGACTAAGTGAGTGTGACATCACCCGTAGTGTTCAGCGCCACTCAAATAAGGCTTGCAATGCTTACGGTTACAGGAGTGAATCTGGAGCCAGGCTCCATATTATGAATAGGATTTTTTTGATGGACAAAATCGCGAAAAAAAAATTCAGGATCATATAGAGCGGGTTTATACGAACATTTTAAGACCAAAATGACTAGGCTTACTACAGCAGTTACAGAAAGAGGGACGACAAGATTCTAATGTAAATCAATTGGAGCCAGAAGAGCCCCCTGGTGAACTTCCTATTTGCGACAGCTAGCGTGTCAGCTATGTCCAGTAATATATACGGCCTATGCTATGACTCCAAAAACACCATCCCCACCATCAAGCATGGAGATGGAAACATTATGCATTGGGGCTGTTTTTCTGCCAAGGGCACAGGACAACTTCACCACATCAACGGAAGGATGGACGGAGTCATGTACCGTAAAATCCTGAGTGACAACCTCATTCCCTCCTCCAGGAAACTGAAAATGGATTGTGGATGGGTCTTCCAACATGACTGACCCAAAACATACAGCTAAGGCAACGAAGGAGTGGCTCAAGAAGAAGCACATTAAGGCCATGGAGTTGCCCAGCCAGTCTCCGGACCTTAACCCTACTGAAAACCTATGGAGTTACCAAGTGACAGCCACAAAACCTTAATGATTTAGAAATGATCTGCAAAGAAGAGTGGACCAAAATTCCTTCTGATATGTGTGCAAACCTGGTCATCAACTACAAGAAATGTCTGACCTCTGTGCTTGCACACAAGGATTTTGCTACCAAGTACTAAAGTCTTTTTTGGCTAGAGGGTTCAAATACTTAATTCATCGATGAAATGCAAATCGGTTTATAGTTATTTTCTGGATTTTCTTTTTGATATTCTGTCTCTCAATGTTAAAATAAACCTCTTATTAAAATTATATATTGTTCATTTCTTTGCCAGTGGGCAAACCTATAAAATAAGCAAGGGATCAATTACTTATTTCCTCCACCGTATACATACCCTTTAAGCAGCAAGTTGGCTGAAACAAAATATCAGCCTGTGAATTAAGGCCCAATATCTGATGATATATTTATATATATGATCTAACTGATACATCACTGATCTAACTGATACATCACCGATCTCTCACTGATCTGATGAAGAGTTGTAAAAAGCATTTAAAATCAGATACTAGTCAATCCTAAAACCAATATTGAAACTAGATACTCATTTGAGCAACCATTGATACTGCAAATGCATCACATTAACACAGTAACATTTTTGATGTCCTGAACAGTTTTGTATGAGTTTGAACAAGTATAAGAACTCATAGTAACATAAAGTAAATGACAATTATTTTGTATTGAAAATAACTATTATAAAAATATATATATATATCTTCATTGTGGTATCATAATCGGTGGTATTAAGATTCTTTAGCATTGAAATAGTGTTTAAAATTTTAGTAAAAGTCATTTTTATCTCCTTTGTCTCACCAGAGACTTGGCGATGCAGTACTGCTCCCCCACATAACAGAAATCTCCAGAGCCACTCGTCTCAAACCAGATGTGGTCACCGAACTGTGCATTTTCCTGAAGAAAAAAAAAAAGGTAAGTGATAATCAATACACAAATAATGGCAATTTGTAGGACGTGAAAACAACCCCATATTGACAGTGACATAATGACAGGAGGCAGAGGACACTCACGGTCCAGTCGATGGAGCTGCTGGGCTCTGGGCGCGGCTCTGTGGAGGTGGGCCCCGTGTGCTGGAGACTGGACTTCGCAATGGCTTTTCTGCAACAAGAAAAACAGACAAAACAGTTTAAAGTACTTTATTATTTATTTGCATCTATATTATTTATGAATTTAGGTTTGCTGCAACGATTTGGCAATAGGGTTCTATAAAATCAGATACCAATCAATACTCAAAAAAATCTAAATTAAAACTAGGATCGAAACTATTTGAAAAAGTACTGATACTAAAAAAGTCATATCAACAGGACAGAAATGAACCTTTCTTGAATAGTTTTAGCATGATCTTGATCTTGAGCTGTACCAGAACTAGTATAAGACTATATATACCTGGAAGAATGAGGAAGTAGACAGATATAAAACCACATATAATAATATAACTAAGTACTATTTAATGTTGGAAATGACATTCTGCTGTCCAAATAAGAGCATTTTTTACTATGATTGTGGTATTGGAATCCATGTATCAAGTCTATTCCTAAGTATCAAAATCGAGTTTGAAATGTTAGTATCATGACAACACTATTTGGCAAGTGTTTAAGTCAGATGCCCTTCCAAAGAAAGCATGCCATCTGGTAAATTTTGAGCCAGTCATTCTGAGTAATATTTTTAGACAACACTTCTTTACAACCTAGGTCACAGTGACATTGAATAAACTTAAAAGCATCTGGTGCTCAATATAACAGATGAACCAGCACCAGAAATCTGTAATAAGTGATTTTAGCAAGTACATGCAGTTACCATGTTGTTTTTAATGCTATCATAATTATGCATTTCACCAAGCACTCTGAATCATCTCATTAATGCAGCCTACAGACCAATCAAGTGCTAACTTACATGTTGAAAGCAGTAATGAAAAAAGCCATGCTCTCATCATGCAGTTAACATCAAATACCCTTCCACCTGTTTGGGTTTGGGACCTGCACGGCTCAATACCCACAGTTGCAAAGTAGTAATACAGTTTCCACAAATGTATCGTATTTTGATTATAACTGGTGTATTTTTCTGTTATATGTTATAATTATACTATATGTGTACATCCTAAAAGTAATATTAAACCCCTATTAAATACATTTAATACACAAACAGTTTAGTAATATGCAAATGTGTGTGTGTTTTTTTATAAGTAAATAAAGCAAGCATGTATCTATAATATATGTTTTAAAATACTCAAATAGTGATAATTGTTAGCACTATTGTAACTGATCAACAAAAAATGCTTTTGAATTATCATGCTGAAGTAGTAAGTACAGCTTTTGTGAATGGGACTCCTAACACAGAGAAGGATAAGAGGTATATGTAGACAATAGACTTGATATAAAATGGTTCAAATGGGAGTCAATTAGCGTCAGAGAAACACCATGACAAAGACCGGACGGACTGTGTCTTTGTAAAAAACGAACCACTAATGAAGCTTCTCCAGGACGATGCATCGCTCTGCTCCAGAATGTGGCTACACAATATACCTTCACACAATGACTGCTAGTACTTCTCACATGGGTGTAGATCCTGTTCTAGTCCTGGTTCTAGTCCTCTTGTAGTGCTGATTTCAGCCCTGATTTAGACCTGGTTTATTCCTGGTTTAGTCCTGGTTCTGCTGCTGGTTCTAGTGTTGGTTCTAGTGTTGGTTCTAGTCCAAGTTTAACTGCATGTTTAGTCAGTTTTGTATGGTAGACATAGGGGCATGTGTCTGTGTCTGAAAAAAGCACTGAACAAAAATACTCTCCCTCGACACTGTCAGATTGTCGCTGGGTCATATCACGACTCCAGATGAACTGTTACAGATGGCATTTTGAGGACTTGCTCATTTAAAAAACATAATATACATAATTCCTAAATTTTTCGTTCTTAGCATGTAGATTTAGATGCAAAAAAATTTTTATTGATAGAAATATGTGTTATACAGTACATTTGTCTCAACAAGCAGCAATGTTTTGTTGTGAATAGCCAAAGATCTTAAAAAATGTTTACCTTTAAAACATGTAATGATGAAATGAAAAAGAAAATATTAAATTTTTGACTGACAGACATAGCAGGAACAGATGTCTCTAAATAAAATCAAATTAATATTTTAAAGCTCTGGATGTTTTGGTCAAAACGCTATACCTTTTATTAGGTCTTCTGTGTGATGCTGTAAAGTGCTCTATAAATAAATGTGAACTAATTGATATGTGGAACTACATACAGCAGGAAGGCACTCCAGCTCTCCAGGCGAGAGTCATAGCCCCCCATCGGGCTGAGGGCCCCGGGGCCTCGGTAAAAGGCTGGGTGGTGCATATGGTACACGGAGCTCCTGCGGTTTGGGGGCAGCGGCAGTCCTCGTCCAGGCCACGGGCTACCGGCTTTAGAAATGGTTGAAATTCTCCTCCTTTTACTTTGAATCGAACCGCGCTGCCGATAACACCACCCAGTCTCTCCTCCAAAAATTTGTGAAGAGTTCCTACGAAGGCAGCGTGGGGCACGTATCAGACGAGACGAAGTGGGAGGAGCTGGACAAGGAGTGGGTGGCGGCTGTGCTGGAGTGGGCATGACTTCTCTGCATGTTTTAGCAATGTCCAATGAAGGCAAAGGAGAGGAAGACTCCGGCGGATCAGAGCGCTCTACTTGGTCGTCCTCCTCTGGAAGCTCCTCCCCCTCTGAGATTTGGCTGTCGTCTGATTGGGTGTCATAATCACTGCTGCTGTCGTCGTCTCCATCCGATTGGAGCCCGCGCACCTCCACCTGTTGCTCACCGTGAGGGCCCTCCCCTTCATCTGTCATTTGTAAAAGACTGGCCAACAACATGGAAGGTCCCAAAAGGTGTGTATCTATCGTGCGTAGTTTTCCAGCTTTCCGCCGTCGAACTGCAAATCGTGGATTAAGACATGGGGTAGTTGTGCTCGACCTCCTCCTACCAGGACCCCCTCTCTGTCGGGACACAATCCGCCCACTGCTAACACACGGCACCCCCTGGAGTTGGACACTGGATCTGCGACGTTGACAAAGAGTGGAAGAGGCCAGTCCGGCGCTGGACCTGCGACGTGCCTTGCTTGTGGGCACAGCAACACTTGGTCTCCTGTGTCTGGTGGAATCTGTATCCCTGGGCTTTGCTCCATCTTTTCTCCTAAAGTGGCGTCGGAAAAACGTGTCCATGATGACGTTTAAACACTCCTCTCACTGTTGGAAGTAAACAGGAGTTAGCTTTAAGAACGTTTAGGAAAATGAACCGAGTTAAATATGGTAAGAGTACGGTCTTAAAACTTCGGTACAGCAAGTCTGATCGTAAAAGTAAAACATGTTAAAAAACCTGTTGGCACGTGACCGTTTAGAGAAGCAAGGAGGAGCAAATGTCGGATACTTGAAATATGTTTTCAGTAAACACTGTAATACCACTATTGTATTATTCATGAAGTGTTAGGCTAGTTTTCACTCTGTTGTGTTTTGTAGTTTTCTGAAACATTAACAATTTATGTATGTATTTATTACTGGATAGCATTTTGCAATTCATTTTAATGAATAATTTATTTTATATAATGTAATTTTTTATATATTTATAAATGTATTTACATACACACATCATTATTGCTTCTCCAGACTGGGATTGTGCTGATAATGTTCATTCTATTTAAAAGGACCTTCTTTTCCTATTTTTACAATATTAAACTTCTTTAATTCTTTAATAAAAACAAAAGTCCAACAATTTCTGTACATATTTTAATATCAAATTTTAATTTTGGCCATCACATCCTTCTTATTAGTCTTTATGCCAATTGGCAATTTGTGTTCAAGTGAGCAAGACACTACACAATTACTTTTATAGCAAATCATTCATCCAATAACCCATGGGGAAACCAGTTCAACGTTTTTACCCTTTTCTATTACTTCAGCCCCACCATTATACAAGAGCAAGAGCAGTTGACCTGTCACCAAATTTCAAGTCCATTTTCCTCTGAGAAACACAGACACATGAATAATAAAGAGCTGAGGGGAAGTGCCTGACAAGGGGGTACACAGCAGGACCAGGAAGCAGTCATCTCAGAGTGTCAAACACCACTACAATTCAAATTAAAACATACACAACATAAACATACTGAAACATTAACAAATTGAAACCAACTATGGCCAGTTAAAAAGCAGTAATCAATCAATATTTCAGAATCATAATCATTTGTCAAGATGATAAAAAAAAAGAGACAATGTTCTTGCAGTTATGCTTCTTTGTTGGATACATGGTTACAATAAGCTGTAATACACTACACTTATTAACAGAGCCATACGTGACTATAGACAATATGTTACTGCTATAAGGAAGTAGTGGTTTGTCATTTGATTATCAGGCTTGAGTTGGTTTGTTTAGGGCTGCATGGTAAGCAGACTGATAACAAATCATTATTTACGACCCCATGGTTTTAGCTATTAGCAAACGTGATATTTCAAGATTTGACGGATGAATTAGACGATGAATATGTGCCTATCTTGAGGGAAATTACTTGCAGTGTTGAGACAATATTATTTTTATTGTAGTATCCTTCTTTGTATTATGCATGGTTATGATCTAAGATATTATACTACACTTACTAACAAAGCCATATGTGAGTATTACAGTATTAATTTATGGGGCTTTGTGGTTCTTACTGATACAAGAAAGAGGTGGTTTACCATTTGATTATCGTGATCGGACTTGAGTTGCAGTTTGTTTAGAATTGCATGGTGACCTTTAGGTAGACTACAAACATTATTATTAATCATTACGTTTATTAAGATAAAACATTGGACTTTTAACCAAATTATATTAAATACATTATATTATATTAAATCAAGTTATGGCAGCATTGTTTTAGCCTTTAGCAAATGTGATATTTCAAGATGTAAGAGATGAATTAGCCTGAAACCAAAATTTTGTTAGAATACTAAATACTTGAAGTTTATTGTCTATAGTAGAAATCTGTCTGTGATTAACTATCGCAGTTCTCAATAAGTTCTTTACTTTAATGCTCAACATCACAAGTGAAAAGCAAACAAACTCAAAATATTATATACACAAACACACAACCCTGCATATTTAAGCTGAGTCCTCCTTTCAAACAGAAAACACTCTAATTCCACCTTGTGATGTCATGTGGTAATACAGGTGTTTTTAAACTCCATACACCTTCACTAGAATCATTTGGATGATTTTAGACCTGTAATTTCCAATTTCTACTAAACAAAAGGTAAAAGGTAGCTACTGACTTGAAAATGTCTGCTTTGTGACATGACAATGTGGACCACAGCATTTTGAGCTTTGGTGATATAGACCTATTTATAATAAAATGATTATTCAAACATGTGTGAATGAAACAAAACACAACTCCAGATATGTTTTTGATGAGGTAAGAGAAGTCTATCATGGCTTAAGGCACAAAAGAGTCAATTGTGTGTAATAAAGGACCTTTAATATCATGCAGTTTAAAGCCTAAATCACTCATACTACCAAAAGACTTCTGCAGAACAGCTGCTGACAAGGATCAGGAAGAAAGAGCATATCACACCAGTACTGAAGTATCTGCACTGGCTTCCTGTGAGCTTCAGGACAGATTTTAAAGTTCTTTCATTGGTTTATAAAGTTTTTAATGGTCTTAGTCCTATTTATTTATCTGATCCGCTTTTATCATAAGAGCCCTCTCAGGTTCTGAGGTCCTCAGGTAGTCATCTTTTAACTGTCCCAAAAATTCAAATCATCATCATCATCATCATCATCATCATCCATCTTATTTTAGCTATCCATTTTTTTTTTTGTTATTTTTATTATAACCTTTAGGAGCTTTATGTGTCTGGTTTCTGTTGTGTATATGGAAGAAACTATGGGGTGGGGTTGCTACTGTTTTTAATCAGTCATTTTTCTCTTGCATGTGAAGCACTTTGTGCTACATTTCAAATGTATAAAAAGTGCTATACAAATAAAGTTTGATTCATTGATTGAAAAGCGTAACTGTACCAAAATATATAGTTACTTAAAATTTGTATCATTCTGAATATGTATTTTTTGGTATTCAGGTACTTTCCAACACTGATTACGTGGACCTTGAGGAGCGTTAGCATGCTGACCTTTAGTTTAGCTTTAGCAGTGATCGTAGCCCCTCCCACTGATTATCACCGTGATGACGCAGCAGCAGCTCGGATTAGTGACCAACTTTAGGAAAAACACTAGGCCTATTTTTAGTTAGCCCTCACCTGCACTCACATACTATGCTCCCAGCACAGACACACCAGCAGTAGATGTGCAACTTTAAAATATTGAAGCTCTTGAGGGCAAAATAAGTTTGCTGCGTGCTGTCTGCATCCGAGTATAAAGAGTTTTATTGTCCAATAATCAAGAAGTGTGTAGTCAGCATGCTAGTTGTTGTTGTTGCATACTATTAAAGAGTTGTAGGTGCTGTGATGGCAAAATCCCTTTGAAAGCTGTGAAAAGGGCTCATAAACTCATCACGGTGATAATCACGATGGTTGGAATGCTGAGGGAGGTATAACTTGGTACCCCTGCAACTCTTTAAATATGAACTAGTTAATTCAGTATTTTTTATGTTTTAAAACAGTTAGAATCAAGTACAGTGCTGTTAAATTTAGAGATAAACCAATATATCGCTTGGCAGATACAGTATATCGGGTTATATGCACTTTTTAGGATGGCTATCGTGTATTGGTCTTAAATCTCTAACACAGGCCGAAAAACGTGTGACTACACAGCTCTCTGATAGCTTTGTGGTAAAAAAAAAAAGGGCTGTGGGAGAGTTTGTAGAAAATTACATAAAAATCATACATATCAGCCCCAAAATATCAGCAGAGCTTATCAACCATCAGTTTCTCTAGATTCTAAACTATCAGCATTGGCCGTGAAAAAGCTTGTATCATCGATCTCTAGTTAAGTTTCTCCAAAAACATAGCAAGGCATACTGGGTAGTATATTATTATCAGTTCCACTTCCTATGCTAAAATGACCTGTAAACTGAAGCCAAAAGAGCATATTAGTTTGTAGCCCTCTTGAATTTGTTTGAATGTGCACTGTGTGGTTGAGTTGAAAAGACAGTTTAAAGTTCGTAGTGTGGAGCTGTGGTTTCATAATAAGCAACGGTGACTACCATTTAAAAAGATCACCACAAAACAAAAGTAATGACTTCAAGTTCAAGAGAGTAAAAATACTACACAGTGCATTTTTTACTAACTCATACAAAAGGTTTGAGTGTCCAAAAATGTATATCAGGTATGATATTTTAACATGTGGTGTAAGGTTACAGTTAAGGTTAAGGAAAACTGTATTGACCCCGTAGGGAAATTCATTGTCTGCATTTGACCCATCCTTCAGTGCTGCTGGGGAAACCTTTTAGAAGCAGTGGCAGTGGCATCCATGTCCAGATCTTGAGCAGGTCTTTGTCAGGATTATCTTAGCTGGAGAATTTGGGTTGGGTTGATGGGGGAACCTTAAAAGACTTTAATAGATATTTTCAATGTGTGTAAACTATATAAGTTTTTCTTCCCTTTTTAAATGTTCAAATGAAGAAACTTGCAACCTCCAGATAGAAAGGCCCGCGGTCATCTTTCCATGTCACAAGAGTAAAAGCCACCAACATTCTGACCCAAAAAGATCACCACATAACAAAACCCCGTGTGGAAGAAAATAAATAGTTTGATGAGAACTTTAATGTTTTGTTATCATGGTATACTTGGGTACACTTACAACAACTGCACAATACTCATCAAAACTGACATGGCATAATGCACCAACTAGGGGTATAACGATATCCAAGTCTCACAATACGATATCGTCACTGTATGATCCTCACAGTACAATATTTATTGTGATATCGTGGGAAAGCTCACGATATAGTGGGGAGGCTCACGATTATCGATGTAACAATATCCAAATCTCTCTGTACGATATTTTCACGATATACATCTCACAGTACGATATTTATTGCGATGTTACTTTTTCCTCTTAAAATGCCTTGACAAAACAACTAAGACTTAAAGAGAGAACTGTTATTTCTTCTCGTAGTCTGCACTGAAATGGAGCCAAGGATCATGGTCTATCTAGTTTCCTTTGTCTTTTTTCGAGCTATTGCTGCACCATAACTCTTAATTTAAGCAAAGAGACTTGTAATTCGATATATTGTGAGAATCCACGATATTATTGTGAGAACTTTGACGATATTTCGGTTATTGTTACATCCCTAGCGTCAACCATTTTCTTCATGTTTTGCTGCCTATTTATTGTTTGACAGTTAGAGTTGTATTTTTCATGTTCCACATACAGTAGCACTGTCTCCTAAAAAACAAACAGTCTTATCAAAAAGCAAAGTCAAAAGCAGCTCTTCAGACAATATCTCATTAGCCCTATTCTGTAACAGTAACAGAGAGGACGGAGGTGTGGGCCAGACTACACCTGGACTTTGGACAACAGGAAGTAATATATATAGTAGCCTACAGTAAACCAAATCTACTTTCATAAATGTTGAAATGAATTATAAAACGTTGAATGTTTTGCAAAAGATTGACATATAGTAGGCATTTTCAATTTGAAGTTTTAATCCCATAATGTTTCTCCTCACAATACTTTAACACTAACATTAGACATTGCTACACCACTATTTAGGCTACTGATACTTTGCAGCTCATACCGTCAACATTCCCTAGGGGTGTGAAGCTAACTGAAAGCACTACTCTGTTAGAAACTCTGTTACTCAAGTTAAGACTTAATCTGAGCGTTATTTTAACACAATCTGACCAGAAAGAGCTGTTTTGGTTGGAACTATCAAAGATGAGATTATTGTGCTTTTAAATAAGTCTCTCACACATAAAATTACAGTCACATGCTAGCCAGCATTAGCCTAAAGTGTTTCAAACAAACCAAGAACGCTCGTATTGATCACAGGCAGAAGATCTTAAAACTTTTTTGTGCTTTGTGTCACCACGGAAACTGCTGAAAATTCCATCAATAGAAATGCATTGTAGAACAGCCCCAGTGTGATGTCAATAGTATCAATAGTATTTTAGAGCTCATTTTACATAGCACAGTCTTTTGCTATCAATGCCAGCACTATGTAGCTTATTTCCATACAGGTAAATCATGGTAGATGTGGATACAAAATTTGCATCGGCAGCACAGAGTTATTTTTGAGCACATGTGTAACTCCCTTACACCTAACTTCCACCACAGCAGCAGGACCCTCAGCCACCTCAAACTTCATTTCCTCCTCTTCACCACAAATCATACTGCGTCACTAACCTATCCACCAAAGTCTAAATGCCAAAGACAACTTATTTGTCCGTTAATGCCTGGGGTTGACATTTAGACACAGGAGTCAAATTTGCTGAATTGTCAGAAGCGATAATGTGTGCTTGTGTGGTTTTGAATAATTAACTTTCCCTCTGCAAATTCAGCAATTAGATGATTAAACTCACCCAACCTTATATTTTCGGAACGGTTGAAGATCTCATGAAATCCATTTTGGAGAAGTCATTTAAAACTGGAGACGCTTTCTTTAGTTTGTTAATATTATCAATGATGATTTCAGTGCATTAAATATCTAATGAAATTGTTCTCAAACTGCTAGTACTGGTGATGATTTGAATAGCTGGTCCTGCTTTGGTCCTGCATTTAAAGTTGCAGTATCTAACTTTTCTAGAGAGAGGTACCGGTCTGCAATGAGATGTCATCACTTTGCCACTCATGTTCCACAGTTTGGCATTAAACTTTATTAAATTCAGTTTGGGGTTTTAATTGCATAGTACACCCCTAGATGTCATGTTTCTGGTTTAGGTGGTATACCTGGTTTCATGCAATTGAATGATGGCTGCATGTTGTAATGAGCAAAACATGGAGCAAAGATGGAAGTTTAAAAAAGCACTGTTCCAATGCCTTAAAATGACGAGTGAGATACTAGTATCAACACTCGGGCCAAGCTGCAATTTTATATAGAAAACCTATTTAAGGACAATACAAAATACTGAAGAACACTCAACGATATAATAAACCATTTAGTGAGTCAAACGCATTTATTAAATCACACTTACGTAACAGCATTTTCACACCTTTCATTAAAACTGCAGGTGCTAGATATGTATATGTTTTTTTTTATTCTATGACTATCATTATTCAGTTCCTCATTTGTACAGTCTCAAATACCAGCATTTCAGAGTGGTTGCATGGCCTCACAGCAAAGTAATGTAAGTTGCGCAGTGTCTTCAATAGAACTAGATTTGCTTTTCTAATATAAAGTCTGTTATCACAATGGTATTAGAATTACAATGATATGAGAATAGAATAGTGTGTAAAACTGCTTTTCCATCATATCTAATCACGCCATATTGACATAATTTGGCCTGTACAAGATATCCTAATGTTAGATAACAACAGATGCAATGTCCATATTATATCCCTATCGCATTAGTTAAATGTATTACAATAATGTAATAGACCTTATCTGGCCTGTAACCTGATTTGTATTCTCATTTATAGTTTTTACTCAATTTGGACAAGTTTATGCAAAGAGTTGTATTCCATATTGGATCCAAATACTTAAAATGTCAAACGCATGATTTAAATAATGCATTCTTAATGTCTATTTCCCGTTGATCCGTCTGTTCTGTTATTCTGTTCTGTTACCCCAAATTTTCCAGTATAATGCAAAGACAAAACTAAGAAAATACTATACTGATACAGACACTGATTGAGCACTGTGGCTCATTCAAAACCACTGAGAAGCAAACATTGACTTGACAGCTAAAAGTATCACAGAACACCACTACATAGTAACCAACAATAAGTAAGTGCAATTTTTTTCTACTATTAAACAGCAAATTTGAGTAAAGAAAAAGAATAATTGCTGAATTTGAGACATTAACTCAAAATTATAACATGACATGGCAAAATAATCAAAATGTTGAAACAAAACAGTAGCAGCTGTATTGCCATCATATACTTACAGTATATTAGCTTTTTTTATGTATTAGGTCTATAACATAACAGTTGAGCTATAGTTGGTTGAATAATCTAGAATCTATGACACATTACAGATATAGGAACCAACTACTAAGTGATTAATAGTGCTATTTTTATTTATTTATAGTTGGCTATAAAAAATCCAATGGTTCACTTAGAAAAAGATTCACTGCACTATCCTGCTTCAGTGTTATAGCAGGGGTATTAAGTAGTTTGAAAAACTATTGTGTATTTTAACATTTTCTGTAGCAATATATATCGTGCTTCAAAATTTGTTATTATGACAAGTCTTCAAATTAGTTATTCCATAATTGCCTGTAATGCTAAACCATATTTTTTCCAACATTGAGTGAATACAAAGCCATGCTAAGCTCCAAAAGACAACATTATATTTCCCCTCACAAAAACCTTCAAAATAGTTATTCCCTATTTCACTATAATAATCTATTTTCAGACATTTGATTGAGTCTGAGAAAATATCATGTCAAGTTAAGCTCCAAAAACCAATAGTACTTTTACCTTCACAAAATATCACAAAGTTCTGACAAATTGCATTTTGTTTTTCTAATATTTGCACAAAATACTGAATCGAACAGAGTCTCCGTCGCACATTGACTGACTAAGAAAAATGTGATGGCCTGTCAAACTTAATAAGGTAACACTAGATTGACTTTACAGCTAAAATTTCACTCTAAAAACGATGCCAAAGAAATATGAAATGATCTGAATACAACCTGATACGGAGTCCGATATGGAGGAAGCACTGAACCACAATGTACATTCGCAGGAAGAGACAGAGAGAGATAGAGAGAGAGAGAGGAGAGAGAGGAGGAGGAGAAAAAAGAGAAACAAGGGGGCTAAGCTGCTGTTTTAAATAACTAAAGCTAATTCGGCTCCGTCAACACGCGTCTGTCCAGTCTCTACGCACAGACACACATACACACAAACACACACATGAAGCAAGCGCTCTTTTGTCCCACCGCACTTCAATGCCTCACATGAATGAACTGCTGCCGCCACTTCACTCCGCCTCGGTCTCCTTCATTAACACTTCAAGGCCCTCAACCACGGCTGCATTATGGATGGGCAATACATATAAGGAAAGAGGAAGTGGGATTTGAAAAAACGGTATATGGTAAATAGTATATATATTTGATTGCACGGTCTAGACAGTAAGAGGTGATGTAAAGTAACAAAATATGCTTTGAGGATTCTTAGTGAAACGAAGTACAAGAAGTCATATGCACTTGATTTTGGATATATTACGTCATTATTCAAGAAATATAAAAAATGAATAAGACAATGATTAAAGGCCATATGTTACACTATTTTTGAGCTATATGTTCTAATGAGGAACAACATTAGAATGGTGTTTTGTTTCATTCACACATGTTTAACACACAAATCCTGCATATTTAGGCTGAGTTCTTCTCTCAAACAGAAAAGACTCTCTGATTTCAGGTGGTAACACTGTGTTTTTAAACTCCATGCAACTTCTCTAGAGTCATTAAAATGATTTCAGCCTCTACTGAACTAAAGATAAACGGTAGCTGTAACTTGAAAACCGCTTCATGACATCACAAGGTGGAATAGAGAATTTCAAGGTTTGGAGGTGGAGACAGACTAGTAATCAATGGTTACTTAAACATGTGAATGAAACAAAACACAACTCAAGGTGTTTGAGGTAACAATATTCTAACATGGTATTTAGTATTTGGTCCATATTTTACTACAATGCTAAACAATCTTCAGGTCATGTAATGTAACTAACCATTACGTGGAGTTGCGAGGATTCTCAGATAAACAAAGTACACAAAAACCCATACACTTCAATTTTGGTTGAAAATGCTCCATCTCTCCACTACCATCATTTTTTAAGATGTTCAAATCCATCTAAGAAATAATCACTAGGGTGGCAACCCTTGAAATCCACTTCCAACCAGGGCTGGGCAATATAAAGGATAAAAATCATTGTAATCTGATCCCTGTGACAATACCCATGCTATTTTCAGTCCGTCGTCATATAATGCTTCAATTCTTCTCTGCTCTACACTCATAGACACAGACACTCCTCCTATTGGTCAACACCTGTCATGTTTTGAATTAATGACAGGTGGATCTAACCAATTACAAATAAACCAAGTCTAAACTAGAGTATAAACCAGATCTAAACTAGAGTATAAACCAGGTCTGAACTAGAGTGTAAACCAGGTCTGAACTAGAGTGTAAACCAGGTCTGAACTAGAGTGTAAACCAGGTCTGAACTAGAGTGTAAACCAGGTCTGAACTAGAGTGTAAACCAGGCCTAAACTAGAGTGTAAACCAGGTCTAAACTAGAGTATAAACCAGGTCTAAACTGGGAGTGTAAACCAGGTCTGAACTAGAGTGTAAACCAGGTCTGAACTAGAGTGTAAACCAGGTCTGAACTAGAGTGTAAACCAGGCCTAAACTAGAGTGTAAACCAGGTCTAAACTAGAGTGTAAACCAGGTCTAAACTAGAGTATAAACCAGGTCTAAACTGGAGTGTAAACCAGGCCTAAACTAGAGTGTAAACCAGGTCTGAAACTAGAGTGTAAACCAGGTCTAAACTAGAGTATAAACCAGGTCTAAACTGGGAGTGTAAACCAGGTCTAAACTAGAGTGTAAATCAGGTCTAAACTAGAGTGTAAACCAGGTCTAAACTAGAGAACTGCGAATGATCTACTTCCATAGTATTTTTTTTTGTATTATTACACAGTAAGATTTTATTATGTGTATGACCTAATCTTAATATTTGAATTTATTGCACACATAATACAATCTTATTTGTCTTCAAGTGCAGTGTGAATTCTCTGGAGCAGCAGATGACTTTAGCTACACCTTATATCTGGTGACACGACTAAGCTAAGTTACACGTCAAATCTGCGGAAGTCGGCTCTGCTATGAGATGTTTTTGAACGTGTTTGTGATATGCTGGGCAACCTCCACCCTTTTAAAACCATAATAATTATTATTCAGAAGAATACACAGCACACCTATGAAGCACATTACTCATTTTGAAAATGCAAGCATTCAGACCAGGCTGTACTGTTCAGACCACATAGATGTTCTAGTCCCGTGTGGTTGATATAAACCAACTACATGACACATTGCAACTTCTATGCGAAATTCCAGTCAGACAAACGGTTACTGGTGTTCATTATTCATTCATAGAGTTTACATTGTCCTGTCAGTCACTGTTAAGAAGATGATCTCAAACTAAATATGGTGTCAGCATCAATACAGTACCACAGTGAAAGGGTAGTGCAAGAGATTTCCTACTCACTCTGACTGACACTTGCAGAAAAAAGGTACCATATGCAATTGATTCAATACTAAAAATTGTATTGAAACTAGATTCTCATTTGAAGAAGTATCCATATTGACTAAATTAACAAAAATAGAACAGTTTTTTGAATAAAATGAATGAATTTACAGTGGCCCGTGTCTATATTAGTAGTTTCTTTAATATTACTCTGTTGTCTTTTAGTAGTTCTATAACTACTATTATTATATTATTTTGTGTTTATATTATAATTACAAGGTCTACACTAGGGTATAAATCAGGTCTAAACTACAGTATGAACCAGGTCGAATCCAGGGTATACCACATATACCTTTTCTAAACTAAGGTATAAACCGTGAAGCATCCAGGTATAAAACAGGTCTAGTGAAAGTTTAAAATAGATCTAAACCATTAAAGTGAGTCTAAGTGACTCTAACTGACTCTATGAAAGAACCTAAAATGAACTTGAAAACAGTCTTTGATACCAGTATAACAAAGTGACATACTGGCTTATCAACCATGTTATGATGCAGGGTAGCCATCCATGTTTGTATTTCACTTTGCATTTGATAAAAGTAGCTGTATATTTCCATATATTTCCATTTCTTTGTGACATAACATTTGCATTAACCTGAATACAGCAGACCCTCCACTCACACCTGTTTAAACCCACAAACTGTCACTGTACCACTGACATAAACTAGGACGAACATGTGGAAGAAAGAGGAAATCATTTGAAAAATAAAAGATGGAATGTAGCAGATTATTTGTCAAATATGCAATAACTTAATGGCCAATATTTCAGATCTATTGCTGATGAACCATATGACAATGCTGATACTGTCCAATTTTTGAGGACTTCTGAAATCGTTTGGCCTGATATGGGAAAACGTTTTAAAGCAGCTCTACTCTGTGACAATGTATCATTTCCAGTGTCTTTTTAATCAAGCTAGTGACTTACAGTGGAAGAGAAAGTAGCAAGTAAGAGTTCACACTCTTAAGAATCCATCTTGTTAGGCTCCAGCTGACGCATAAAAGGAGACTGACCAATCAGAGAGGAGCAGAAGCAAAACATGGTGACACCAGAAGATGCACTTCTACCTATTTTAGCGTATATATACAGACTACTTTGTGAATAAGGAAGATGTCTGTGCTTTTCTCTCAACTAGATTTAAGTAAAGTTTTTCATACTTCAATGGGTCAATTCCTCTAGATGCGTTTAAAATGTGACCTTTGAGCAGAGTTGTACTATTAAGTTATAAATTGCAAATCTAATGGTAATCACCTTGCTTATCAGAAAGAAAATCACAATTATAATTTTTTTTCCCCAAAACATTGAACTCTTATTTCTTGCCATAGTGATTACTGCATTAGCCAATGCTGTGAAATATAGAGCAGCAAATTCACTGTATTCCTGTTTGTGAGATAAGTATTCAAGTGCACAATATTGGATTTTCCCACAACATATCTCACTGGTATGGACCAAAGCATCAGCAAGTGTGAGGCCATTACTGAGGCTCACATTCCCATCGCTGTTTGTGCCGTTTCCATGGAGCCCTGTGTCATTAGGGACCATTCTACCAAAGTTTAACATCAGCTGTGACTTTAATGTAAACTAAACCAAGAGCAGTGTGCAGGAAACAGGAAGTCTGTTATTTTAATCTGAATTCATTTGCCTGATCTGATGCTTGCATGGGTCCACATCTCTGATCACATACAATAGATCCAAGCTCTCAACCAATAAGTAGTAGTAGTAATAAGTAAGAGCAGTAAGTACTTAGTAAAGTGAGAAGTAGCAGTAGTAATAGTAGCATTAGGAGTAGTAGCAGTAGTAACAATAGCAATAGCAGTAGCAGCAGTAGTAGTAGCAATAACAGTAATAATAGTATCAGTAGTAGTAGTAGTAGTAGTAGTAGTAGTAGTATTACTAGCTGAACCTCAAATTATCAAAATGTATAACTTCAATAGGCTTAACCTATGTTTTATATAATTACACAGGTAAGATTTTTTTTTATAATAGTGTATGGCCTAATCTTAATATTTATATTTGAAGCACACATTCTAGTACAATCTTATCTGTCTTCAAGTGTTGCGTACACAGTTGGTTTCTTCTGCAGTATACACGTGGTTTAGTGTTGTCCAAGTTCTATGTAGGTCCTTTCCACTTTGTTGTTGGTCTGAAAATAGTGGGGGATTACCCCAAGAGGCTTAAAGGTGGCAGCCATTTTGGATTAAAGCCAAGTGACTGATCAGAGTCTAACCCAGTGATCTGAGGACTCCTGCCCTAGAGACTGCCCTGTGAGTCCCAGTAGTTAACCTCTTGCCTGGGAAATCCAGAATAATATATCTCTGCATTTTTATACATATTCATATCAGTCAATTCTCATTTACAAAAATCAACATTTTTCTCACCTCAGATTAGAAATATGCAAACTTTTCTTATTATTTTTTTCCAGCCCATGCATGTCCCTGATTGGCTAATCCATCTGTCAAACACGCCCATCTGAATTTGGGGACTTACATATTAGTAAAGTAGAAGATGTGGTTATTCTGGGTCATACGAAAGTGAACTCTTTAAAGTGCACTATGTAACTTTTCTCATGTGGGGCCATCACAATCTTTTA